TGGAATGGCAGAGCAGGCTCGCGGGACTGAACAGTCTACTCCTTTCCATATCTTATAATCTTATGGTCTTTATGGTTTAGGGTTAGATTTTTCTTCTTAGCCTTCAAATCCTGTATTACTGGCACTACATCCATAAATATTCACTCCATCCACCACTGAAGCACAGTGGCAGCAGTGTATAACATCAACATGATGATCTACAGAAATTCACTAGGGCTTCTTAGCACCTTTCAAATTCACGGGCCATTGTCGTCTAGAAGGACAAGGGCAACAGGTACATGGGAACAGCATCGCTTACATAGAACATAGAACAGTACAGGCCCTTCGGCCCATGATGTTGTGCCGAACTTTTACCCTAAACCTAAGGTCTATGTAACCTCCACCACTGCCTTATACTATCATCTATATGCCTATCTAATAGCCGCTTAAATGCCCCTAATGAGGCCGACTCCACTACCCTCTCCGGCAATGCATTCCACGCCCCTACCACTCTGAGTAAAGAACCTACCTCTGACGTCTCCCCGATATCTACCTCCTTTCACTTTATAACTATGTCCCCTCATAATCTACCTCCACCCTAGGAAAATGTCTCTGGCTGTCTATCTATACCTCTGATCATTTTGTACACCTCTATCAAGTCACCTCTCATCCTTCGTCATTTTAAAGAGAAAAGCCCTAGCACGCTCAACCTTTCCTCGTAAGACCTTCCCTCCATTCCAGGCAACATCCTGGTAAATCTCCTCTGCACCTTTTCCAATGCCTTCACATCTTTCCTGTAATGAGGTGACCAGAACTGGACACAATACTCCAGATGTGGACGAAGCAGGCTTTTGTATAGCTGGAGCATAACTTCACGGCTCTTGAACTCAATCCCTCTATTAATGAAAGCTAACACACCATACGCCTTCTTAACAACTCTATCCACATGGGTGGCAGCTTTCAGGGAATGTGTTGCCCTTCAAACCATTCACCAACATTACTTGATATGACACCTGTATGACATATCTCTGTTCCTTCAGGGTCACTGGGTCAAAATCCTGGAACTTGTTAGAAGCACTATGTACCTGTATCAAATGTGCTGCAGAATCCAAGATAGCAGCTCACCGCCACCACCACCTAAAAGGCAACAAATGCTGACCCAGCAGTGAAGCCCACATTCCATGAATGAATTAAAAAATAAATATGGAGTAAACTTGTGTTTTTACTCCATTCGGTTGTAGAAAATATGAACCCTGTTCTTGTCTGTTCTTGGAAGATGGGCAGGGAAAATAACTTGAATCTGAGCAGAATCAGAAAGGTGGTAAATGAATAGAGGGGAAGAATTCAATTAAGAAGAGATGAGTTTGGTTGCTGATTGACAATTCCAATTAAAAATTAAAATCAAAGCTTAACAAACAATAAGAACAAATTGGAGAACATTTCAACAATGGTAAATGCATGATCATATGTTCCTGCTTAATATCATATGGCCCTGTTTTCTCACTATTGATAATAGATTTCCAATAAGTGATTGACAGACTGCTGAGAAGCTTACAGTGGTTTCATTGTTATTGACTCAAAATAAAAAGAGCATTAAAGGTAATGATGTAGGAAATGAAGTGTCAAAACGAGTTCATATTTTAAAGGGGAAGGGTGGATGTAATATATTTGGATTTTCAGAAACTGTTGGATAAAGTACCACACCTTAGATTACTTAAGATAGAAGTATTTTAAATAGTGTTTTAGCATGGAGGGAAGATTGGCTGACTATTGGAAGACAGAGAGTTAGGATGACACCCTGTAACTAATGGGGTTCCACAGGGATCATGCTGGGGCAGCAATTATTTACCATATGTATAAATTACTTGGATGAGGAAAGTGAATATACTGTCACCAAGTTTGCAGATGGCACAAAAATATGTGGACAGGCAAGAGATGAGGATGCCAGTGCCTGCAGAGGGATATAGATGGGTTAACTAAATAAGGAAAAGCTTGGCAGATGAAATATAATTGGGCAAAATGTGAGGTTATGCACTTCGGCAGGAAGAAAAGAAGAACTGAATGTTAAAGCAATGGTAGTGATTCTAAAGGGGATAAATAAGGTAAAGCCAGATTATTGCCTCCAAGCACAAGTAAGTTTAAGAAAAGTCTTTAACTTCTTGGCGCAGAGAGCTGTGGGAGGCAGTGTTCTTTTGTATTATTAAAGTTGAGATAGTCAGATTCTTGATCAGCAGGGGAATCGAGGGTTGTGGGAAAAGGTCAGGAAGATGGAAGTGAGGGATCTCAGATCTGCCATTATCCTATTGAATGGCTGAGCAGGCTTGAGGGGCCAAATGGCTTCTACTGTTCCTGTTTTCTGTGGTCTTAAGGACACTGAAAAGTAAGTTGGAACTGATACTAAGAGAATATTTTCACTTGAGTGATAACTGTTTGAAATAATCAGTCAAATTAAATTGAAGTAATTATGTGTTCGAATTCTACTCCCCACTAATTCACTTGAACGTAAAAGATCTGTTTTTAATTGATTATATATTTTTGTAACGTATGAAATTAGCCCGAAAGAAGAGGAGGAGGAGGAGGAGGAGGTGGAAATGGACAGTGAGAAAGAGGAAGGTGAATCTGACATGGAAATTAATCTTGTTGAAGATGAGCAAGAAACAAAGGACGCATATTCATCAGAGGACCTGTTACCTAAGCTGACCAAATCTGAGCAAAAAGAACTTAAAAAACTTCGGAAGATTGATTACAGCTGGCTATCTACATTACAGGTCACACAGTGATTACAGCTGGGCATCAAATGGGAAATGACGGGATGAAATGTTCAATATTTTTAGTACAGGTAATTAGTCATTGTTATATATATAAAGCTTTGTTTTTAAAACTCAGACTATTTGTGTTCCTTACAATAAAATTGTTTGGGAGATACAAGTCTTCTGTATTAGTGTTGTTTGGCACAGTAGGCTAGATGCTGGTTTACCAAGTGATGCCAATTGCTTTCTAACTTTCCTCCTGAAGGTCTGGATCTCATTTATATGCCCTACATACTCTTGACTCATGTCCTTACAGTGGTACATTGTGGGTGGTGTTATTTACTTGTTTTTTCCTCTTCGTCAATCACTTCTGCAATTTTTTTTTTAGCTGGCTGTGGTCCATCACTTTGTGAACTTACATATATTATTTCCTATTAGATTGCACACGTAAGCACTCTAATATCTGAAATATTTTGGCATACTCATAAGAGGGGTTTGGGTTGCAGACTGTAGGAGCAAAATAACAGCTGCAGAATGTGATTGAAATCTGGCAAGATTCACTTCTAAGATTGCTTACTGTTCTTACAATGAAGCAGCAAAATTAGGTATATCCCTAGTTAATGCTGGAATGGATATTTAAGGATTGTAGGTGCAGGTTAAAAATGGACCGATTCTGAAATAAAATGAGAATCTTGGAATGAAATTAATTATTAAGATGAGGCAGGTTTATGCTCTTGCAAATTTGAAACCAACTTTCAAGTGGCAGGTAGACCAGAATAAACTTAACAAAGACTAACCAGAGTGTTGAAGTAACAGAGCAAAAAGATCCAAACTGTTGCTGTCACCAAATATTCTTCCCCCTCCAATCCTCTGTCAGCCTCTGAAGGGACTACAACACTCCACTTCTCAATCAACCTTCTACACTCCCTCTGCCAGCTTCGTATGAAAGCACAGGAGATGCAACACATGTCCTTTTAGCTCCTCTCATGATGATGCTGCTTCTCTATTTATACCTCTAGACACATCTTTTGTCCTTTACTTGTTCTGCTACCATCTCACTTTGCTTTCATTATCATTACTATTTTCATTTAATCTCTCCTGCATTCAACTGTTTCACAAATCTTGTGTGGTTATTCTACCCTCCACTTCTCCAATTCCCTACCTGCTCGTAAAAATGGTAACCTTCCTAAGTGCTTTGAGTTCTGATGAATGGTCAGCTTTCTCCCAGGTCTCAAATATTTTTGGAAGGGGGTCATCAGTAAGTTACTCTTAGCAAACTATCATACCGCTGAATGAACAAAATGTATGCAAAACTGTACTACAAAGGTGTGTTTTATTGAATGTAAAACAATGCAGAATATTTTGATTACAAATGGTCTATTGAAAACTGACACAATTGAAAATTTAGCACAAACTACATAGTACAAGAAACTTAGTCATTTGCACGTCTTCCTTGTTGAACAAAAACAGTTTTGTCATGTAGTGCATACTAATTTTCAGTTAGTATTTTGTCACAGTGAGATTCATAACGCCTGGTCTCCCAGCTCAGAGACTTTCACCTTAGTGGGTATTCTATTTAGATTAGAGTCAGGAGCCCTCTAGGCCCAAATGTCCCAGAGGACAAGTGCCCAATTCTCACAATTCAACAGGGCCATCCACATCTATATCCCAAGTGCAGAAACTAGGCTTCCACTTAGACATAGTGGGAGGAAGAAGAAAACTTAGTGATGGCACATTATTCACACGGATGCTACTACGTCATTGTAAATAATAGTTATACAGCAGAGAAACAGGCCGTTCGGCCACCATGTCTGTGCTGACCAACAAACAGACTGCAGTAATCCCATTTACCTACTCTTGGCCAATTGTCTACTATGCTCTAGTATTTTAAGTACTTATCCAGATGCTTGTTAAATGTTGCAAGACTATGTGTTTCCACCATCCTCTTGGGGAGCAGTTCAATATGTCTGCCACCATATGGTTGAACAAACATTTCCTCACATCTCCTCTGCATTCTCTCCAGTGCAACCACGTCCGGATAGTGTGGCAACCAGACTGCACACAGGATTACATCTGTGGCTTAATCAGTGTTTCATAAAGCTGTAGCAAGATGCCCTTGCTCTTATATTCTAAGCCCTGGCTAATGAAGATAAGCATCGCGCATTCCTTCTTCCCCAGTCTGTCTACCTGTGCTGACAACTTCAGGGATCTTGATTGAGTTTTGTTTTGAAGAGGTGATCGAGAAGATAGATGAATGCAGAGCAGTAGATGTTGTCTACATGGACTTTAGCAAGGCCTTCGAGGTTCCGCATGGGAGTCAGGGAGAATTAGCCAATTGGATACAAAATTGGCGTGATGGTAGAAGGTTGTTGTTCAGACTGGAGGCCTTTGACCAGTGGTGTGCTGCAGTGTCCACTGTTCGTCATTTATATAAATGATTTGGATGAGAATATTTGCATGTTTAGTAAGTTTGCAGCTGGCACCAAATTGGTGGTATAGTGGACAGTGAAGAAAGGTTATCTAAGAGTACAATGGGATCTTGATCAACTGGGCCAGTGGGCTGAAGAATGGTAGGTGTAATTAAATTGGATAAATGCAAGGTTTGCATTTTATTGAGACAAACCAGGGCAGGACTTACTCAGTTAATGGTAGGGCCTTGGGGAGTGTTGTCGGACAGAGACCTAAGGGTGCAGGTATATAGCTTCCTGAAAGTGGCGCCACAGGTAGACAGGGTGGTGAAGAAGACATTTGGCACACTTGCCTTCATCGGTCAGACCGTTGACTACAGGAGATGGGATGTCATGTTACAGCTTACAAGACATTGGTAAGGCCATATTTGGAGTACTGTGTGCAATTCTGGTCGCCCTGCTTTGGGAAGAACCAAAGTGTCTGTTTCCGTGCTGTATGACTCTGTGACTGTATTAGGAAAGGTTTGGAAGGATATGGGCCAGGAGCAAGCAGGTGGGACTAGTTTAATTTGTGATAATGTTCAGCATGGACTGGTTGAACCAAAAGGCCTATTTCTGTACTGTATGACTCTGACTCTCCTTGTTGTTAAACTGGAAAGGGTGCAAAAAAGATTTACAAAGATATTACTGAGACTGCAGTGTTTGAGTTTGAGAAGAAGCTGAATAGGCTAGGGTTTTTTTTTCCCCCGGAGCATAGGAGGCTAAGGAGTGACCTTGTAGAGGCTTATAAAGTCTGAGAGGCATGGGTAAGGTGAATAGCCAAGAACTCTTCCCCAGGGTAGGGGAGTTCAAAACTAGAGGGCTTATGTTTAAAGTGAGAGGAGAAAGATTTAAAAGGGACGTTAGGAGGAACTTTTTTATTCCTTTCTTCCTGTGAATGAAAGGGCGTCGCTTTTAGGCAGCATTTATTGCCCATCTCTGTTGATCAGAGGGAAGTTGAGAGTCAACCACATTGCTGTGGATCTGGAGTCATGTGAAGGCCAGACCAGGTAAGGATGGCAGTTTCCTTCCCTAAAGGACATTAGTGAACCAGATGGGTTTTTCTGACAATTGGCAATGGATTCATGGTCATCATTAGATTCTTAATTCCAGACTGTTTTAAATTGAATTCAAATTCCAACATCTGCCATGGCAGGATTCGAACCCAGAACATTAATCTTGGTCTCTGGATTAACAGTCCAGTGGTAATACCACTAGGTCATTGTTTCCCCTTCCGCAGAGGATGATGCATATACGGAACAAGCTGCCAGAGGAAATGATAGACGTAAATACAGTTGCAACATCTAAAAGACATTTGGACAAGTACATGGATAGGAAAGGTTTGTAGGGATATGGGCCAAACACAGGCAAGTGGGACTAGTTCAGTTTAGTAACCTGGTTGGCATGGGCCGAAGGGTCTGTTTCTTGCTGTACAACTCTAACTGTATCGATGGATTGTACTCTAAGGCCCATTTGTTCCTCTGTACTCCCTTGGGACCTACCATTCATTATATAAATCCTTCCCTTATTATACCTCCCAAAGCGCGTCACCTCACACTTGTCAGGAATAAATTTCATCTACCATTGCTCTGGCACATTTATCAGCTGATCAAAATCAGACTGTAGCCTGAGACAATCATCCTCACTATCAGTTATGCCACCAATTATTGTCATTTTTAGACTTAATTATTATGCCTTCTATATTCAAATCCAAGATGTCAGAACAAACAACAAGGGTCGCAGCACTGATTCCTGTCGAACACCATTGGTCACAGGCTTCTAATCACAAAGGTATCCCTCAACCATCACCCTTTGCCTACTATTTGCAAGCCAACTTTGGATCCAATCTGCCAGATTGCCTTGAATCTAATGGGCTCTTACCTTTTGGTCCAGCCTTCTATGTGTGACCTTATCAAAGGCCTTGCTGAAGTCCATGTAAACGGCATCAATATATTTAGTCATTTTTCAAAAAGAACTCGTTAGTCATACACAATCTCCCTCTTAGAAATCTATGCTGACAATCCCTGATCAGTCACTGCCTTTAAAACTATTGATTAATCTTGACTTTCAGAATTTTTCCCAATAAATTTCTGTACTACTGATGTCAGACCAACTAGTCTGTAAATACCTGCTGCCCTTCTTGAACAAAGGAACTATGTTAGCTTTCCTCCAGTCATCTGGCACTTCACCTGTGGCCAGCAAAGTATTAAATATCTCCCAGCAAGGCCCCAGCAATCTCCTCCCTTACCTCCCACAGCAGCTTGTGGCATATTTCATAAGGCCCTGGAGATTTATGCATCTGTATACCTGCTAAAACTTCTAATACCTTTCTTTATTAATCTTAACATGTTCCTCTTGATATCCAGAGTTCCCTCGACTAACTGCCCTTACCATTAAGAGGAACACAGTGGCCCTGAATTCTCTCTCACTACTTTTAAAAGATTCCCACTTTCCAAATGTATATTTACATGCAAGTAACTGCTTCCAGTCTGTTTTTGCCAGATCCTGCCTAATTGTATTGAAATCCACCTTCCCCAAACTTAAGACACTTCTGCACTATCCTTATAAGGATAGTGCAGAAGTCATCAGTTATCTGTGATGACTTCAAAACATAGTGTTATGGCCACTATCCTCAAAATGCTAGCCCACTGAAACTTCAACCACTTGACTGCCTCTTCATTCCCTAGGATTAGGTCTAGCACTGTCCATTCTCTAGTAGGACTATTTCTGT